CTGAAGCAAGGGGGATAGAGACCTGGTATGGTCAAACTTATTCACAAGTTGTTTCAAAACCCTCAGTAATGTTTTTGTTGGGGTTTTTTTTTTTCGTTTCTTTTTTCCGCATTGTGTAGGTTATTCTTTAACTTGGATCACTTCAGTGATTCATTTTGCAGAATACCCTCACAAACAGTAGTGTGGGCACAACTTGAAGTACTGAACGGCAGCGTAGGGCAGACCTAATAGATGGCACAGCATGGAGGAGGCAGAGGTACTTACTGATTTTAGGTGAAGGGCCTCTGCAGAAAAGCTGTTTGAGGAAAATGGACGTGGATCTACACTGCAGATCTCTTGTGTCTATGTGTTAAGACTCATGCAGGATCAACTGAAATCCGGAGTCCCTCTTTATTTCTGCTTTGAAAATCAGAAACCAGATTGTAATTTTTTTGCGTGTTAGTTAACAGTAAGTTGCCGGAATTCTGTTGAAATGAGATATGACAGCCCACATTTTTTTTACAGGCAGGGTTGGGGATTTATTTTCTTGGGGTAGGTTCTTTCTAAATCAAGGTCCATCATTAGGCATTGGATGTTTACATGCTAAATTTGGCTTGTATTTTAAGAAATGCTTATTTTGTGACATAGTGTTTTAGTTCATGTTTTTATATATTTCCTTATTTTGGAGTTTGATTATTGATCCACTGTAAAAGTCATCTTGTTTTGGGTTCCTGTATCCCTTTCCTAAAATGTTTTTAGAGGAAATGTCTGCTTGCATGGTTATCTTTTTAAGTTTTTGCATTTCATAAACTTGCGAGATTAGCTTTTGTTGAGTAATGTGTTCCTTGATTACATTAGGAAAATGACCTGCTGACTCATAGCTGCTTTTCATGGCTAGCAATGCAAATACAGATTTCACTGTCAGACGTTATGCAGCTTGTGCTACATGTAAAATAAAGATGAAATTCCATGGCAGAAACACTTGGTTTGTTCTGTTAATCACTGGCTGAGATAGTTCAGTGTATCCGTGTGTAAGGTAATTCACGGAACACTTTAACGTCTGACTAGCTCAAAGAGGAAATCTGATTAAAGGAGTTTCCTCCTTTGTTCAAAACAATGTGTTTTGTGATGCCATTTTATTGGTTTTTATATGGTAAGAGAGCAAAGCAGAGTCAAAGGCAAGAAAGGAGCACGCGGGGCTTCACATCTGGAAATTTTCAGGGCGGCTAAATCCAGTCCTGCAAGCGGTATGTGGTGACTGGGTTGACAACAACACTGTGTTTACAAAATATATACTGCTAGTAATAATAAAAAAACCTCATATAAAAATACTAATAAGAGGAGCAATTTAATGCGGAGTTAATGAACTGAACGTTCACTTGTCACTGTTAAATACAACACTTAATCATGTATTCTGCTAACAAGTAAAAATATTCTTACTGAAAACTTTCAGTCTTTAGGCTAGTAAAGTGCATTTTGGAGGAGTTGTATGAATAAAGATTGAATTTCTCTCACTTTAACAGCACGAGGCATGCATTTCTGGAAGTTAATGTCAGTATCTAGTGATCCCACGGGGCTGGCATCAGATATTTTGCAGGGTGTTCTTATTTTGCTATGAATGAATGACGTTTTAATACTGCATAGTACCATAGTACCATTAATGAGGGTTTTCTTTTCATTAGATTAGAATCTTGTTTTGCTACAAAAACATATTGCTGCTCCTCAAAAGCAGTTCCATCCAGAATCAGCAGAACTGATTGCAAGAAACCCTCAACATAAGAAAAGGCTTAGACTTTTGCGTGCTCTCTCTGCATGTAGATAACCTAATGTGCTGCATCATATAACTCTTCTTTGGGGAAACGCAACTAATCTGTACAAATTTGTGTGCAAAATGTTATTTACACATTTAAAAGTATCATAATTTGGTATTTTTAATTAAATGTTAATAGTGATATATAGATGGGAACCCTTCAGTTATGTTCAGTTGGAAATGCTGTTGCCTGAAGCAAAAGTTCTGTCTTTGTACAGACTGAAGAATTTGACACAAAATAAGGTTTGTTCAACCCTGATGTTTTGGGGTTCTTATGTTTTTGTGGTTAATTATTTCCTTAGCAGCATTTTCCTTAGAAACGAGCAAGGGCATAAAATATAGCTCAGATCTGCCAGCAGATAGATATGTATTTGCATTAGGAGTGGCTGTTTTGATTATCAAATTATTAAAGTGAGGAAATCAGAAACGTACATCAAACCAGTCAGCAGGCAGGGTGGGAGCCCAGTCATGTTAGAGTATCCTGAAAGCGCACTGTAGAATAGGCAATCCTGCCTCCAAACAGGACCAAGAATAGGGTGTCTGGGGGATGAGGTGGGCGTTTATATGCTGCCTGCTGCTTATAGGAATCTGTGCTATCATTGATCCATTGAAGGTGTGGATGCTTCAACTCCATAAATGCACTGGAATAACAAAATAGCTACTTCTTTTTTGATGATGCTTCTCAGTGACCTCAGAACAAATTCATAAATAGACAAAATTTTAGTCTTATTTAATCTAAATAGCATGGGCTTAAGTGACAGTAATGAAATGATGTAGTCAGAAAGCTGAATTTTGTCACAAAAGTGGTCCTTGTGCAAAAACCACCACATTATATCATAGCCTTCCAAGAGGCTACATTCAGTCCTGAATGTAGGTTCGTAATTAGCACATAAAATCATAATGTATCTGATTTGAAAGGAGATAAAGAGTAGGTTGAAGGCAAAACTGTCAGAGGCCTAGGTGTTACATTTGTAACTGTGAAATAAGTGCTAGTGCTTCTTCCAAGTCTGATTAGCAGGTGAAGTCTCGCTCTGCATAAACAGTGCTGTTGACTGTACTCCAAAAGTACATATTTTTGAGAGGATGAAGTGTTTTGCATTTTTTTCAGCGTACCCCACACCTACTTTCAATATGTGGTGACACACATCCAGTTGTTACATATTTTTAATGACTGGATCATCTAACTTTTTTTTTTTGAGAAATTTTTATTAAAACTTGATTGTATTTATTCAGCAAATAGAATTCTAGAACGTATTTGGGACAGAGTGTGTCTGCACCTTTATATCCGTTATCTGTGCTATTTTTGCAAATCGTAATAATCATGCAATGGGAAGTTATTAGCCACAAGCATTCCCACGCAATGAGTAATAAATAATATTGCGTTATCCTGTCATGTGGTAATCTAGAATGCAGGGTTTCAGGACACAACCAAAAAGCATACTGATAAACATGTATAGCAGTTTTCCAGTTCCATTTGAAATTACCTTTTCTCTGTAGAATTATTCTGAGGAAGATCAAACCTAAAGGTTCTTCTAGTATCCGTCTTATTTTTTTTTAAATCTCTGCTTCTTTTTTTTTTAATCTCTCTTTCTTTAAATTGGGATGAGTCTGTGTCTTTCTACACTTAGTTTACAGTGTGTAAGGCTGTCTTTCATTCTTCAAGGTTTCTATACTAACAGTGGTGCTAAGAGTAATCCGCTGTGTTCCTCATGGAAGATAAATGCCAAAAGTGAATTCAGGAAATTCAGGAAAACAAGTACCAACAAAACAAGGAAGAGGCAACAGAGCTTGAAAACAATTCATCTGTATTGTACATTTAGCTTCTACTTATTACAAGTTCATAAGGAATACAGATGGAGTAGGCTGAGATCTTTCCTACCTCTTTGCTTGTATTCTTGGACATAAACAGTAGTTAACACCCTTCTCCGTTAGAACTTATTTTTAAGTCCCCTGCATGGGGAACATCCTTTTTCTCCTTATACAAATTCACAAACTGTTAGACCCTTTCCTGGTGATTGCCAACAAATCTCATTTTGGATTTGCAAAACATGCATTAGCATTCACAAGTCAGCTCACGGTTTCATGTAAAATATTTATGCTTTGATTATATTCATCAAACTGCCGTGCCTGAAGTTACTGCTCTTTAGTTGCTGTCCCTGTAAAATCGTATTTTGTTCTTATTCAGGTAAAAAGATGTAGTACTTCTTGATTCGGTGCTAAGTTATCAGTAGGTCATTGTGTGCCCAAAAATGTCATTGCTGAACTGCATGAAGTAAAGGAGGGATGCATGGCACGACATGTTATTCTTGGTTGTTACTAGTTTTTCTCACTTCAGTTAGCGCTGCTATTGTGCAAGATACTTAATACAGTAGCTGTCTGCTAGCATCTTGGCTATATCATTAAAAAGGATTATGGCTTGTTTCAGTTTGCATGTTTAGATGTCAACTTGAATGATTTTTCCCTTTAAGGGAAGTACACCAGAATTTGTAATGATGTAAGTGACCAGAATCTCACAGGAATACATGTGAGGAAAGGGAACCTGCTACTATCAGAGGCAAAGTGATTAGCAGAGCTAAGAGAGAAGGCTGGTTGAAAAGCTGTGCTTCAGGCATAAAACTGCCTTTGCAGTTTAGAGGGGCCCTCTTTAGCCTATTAAGGAAAGATGCAAGAATTATATACCCAAATCCCATCAGCTGTTAATGCGAAGATCATAACAAACGCGCTTTTAGACGTTTGAAATGCTCCAAGGATGATTTTTCCATTATAAACAGGAGGTGGAAGGAGAGAGCAGTTTTTCAGTGTAGGTAAAAATGCTCAATAAAGAGCATGCTTTAGAGGTGTCTTCTAAAAATCTTGGCAGCACATAAGTACATAGTGGACCTGTTAAGTGCTTATTTGCTATAAATGAAAAGAATTACTGACTAGACAGATCTTCCTTAACTACCAAGTATGTTAGGTCTCATTTCAGCTATGCATCTTCTTTTTCCCACTTGTAAAAAAGCATATTGAGATAATTAGTTACTTAGCACTTTGACTTGCAGGGGGTAGTAAAAATTTTCTTTCATTACCATTTTGCTGATTTTCCTCATGAAAGAAACTTTGAGTTTCAAGGCTTATTTTTCCCTAGATTCTCAAGATGCTGCGGTATAGTTGATGAAGTCATATGCAGTCTTTTTCTGTTTCAGTACAGCCAGTTCTTCTTTGTTGATAGGTATTAGAAAGTTTTAAGATCATGGATTATAGTCTGCTACTGGGCATCCACATACTGGACAGTAACGTGAAAGACAAAGAGGGCGACAGTTCCCAGAGCACATCTGATGCGAAACGTCCTGGAGGGCAGAAAGTTCTCTATTCTACAGCCATGGAGTCTATACAGGGCCCCGGGAAGTCTGGGGACTCTGTCATCACAGAGGCAACAAATACGTAAGTGCCATAGTCTGCTTTTAAAGCTACTATTAAAATTTGTGTGTTCCATCTCTTCAGTTTGTGCCGTTTTATAAAAAGTTTGATACTGGTAAACCATGCAAGAGCGTGCAGCATTTCAGGAAATGAAAGATTAAGCCAAATAAGGTTTGTCCGTGCCTTGTAACATTTTCAAATCTGCACCACTGAGGTTTGCTGGAGAACAGGAAATAAAAAAGTTGATTGGTTGATTGATCATCTGTAAAGATATGATAGCAAATTTAGTTAGTTCAAAATGACTTATGTAGGCACAAATGTATTCACCTGTAAATGAGACGGCCGTTACACAAGTTCCATGCATAATCTAATTTTAACGGGAAGCAGCCTCATGAGCCATGAGCAAAAACTACTTGTTAACGTTGACATAGATATTTCTGCAGGGGTTATTTGCCTCTCAGAGTAGCATACTCAATGCATAGAACTGTCATCAAGCACTGAAGTGCAGTCATAGCCATGCTGGGTATTTCAGGATATTTCCTGAATTTAAGAACAGCTGCTTTTTTCTTATTTTTCTGTCTAGCAGAAATTGCAACAGAAATTTAGGTATGTAGACCATAGTTAATCAACTGTTCCCTTTGATATACATTCAGTGTTATCATTACAATCCCTATTCTCATTCTGTGTAATTAGTCCTTAATCGTAAGGACTAAGGAGGATTTAACTTCACATTAAAAGGGTTTACTCTTCTCATGGTTCTCAAGGGAGCTGTCTGGGTAAATACAATTAACAATAAAGAAATCTGTGCTTAACCCTTCAGCAAATGAATGGGTGAATGATCATACTGAGTATGTAAGGAGCGTTTCCAGCTGTTTAGAGCCCTAGAGTATAAGTTAGACAAAAGAGCTGAATTTTGCCTGTTTTGTTCAATATTGCTCCATTCACATAGAAGATGATAAGAATTAATACTGCATTAATGCTCTTGTTTGGTAGCAGAAGTGTTATGTTGGCAGGTTTCTTTTAGTAAAAGTCAAAGCTGTTTGCATAGGTCATCCAAAAAAGTCCCAGCCCAGTGGTGATAGGCATGGGACCCACCACGGACGTCCACATCGCTAGTGCAATGTGATGCTTCCCTGATCTCCAGTGGTGCACTACTGCTGCGCTGAGTGCATGCTGTGGCGCCTCTGTCCTTCCCTGGCCCCTTGCGCTCTGTCCTCTCTTGCGTTGACATAACTGGTAGTGCAGCAGCCCGCACTGAGGGAAGTATCAGTTGAAAAGAGCCTAAGTCTGGATAATAAAAATAAACAAATAAATAAATTGAAGCCAGGTCGCTTTCCTGCCTTGGTATCTTGTGTACAAGCCTGAAGATGGAGCACCCTGTGGCCAGGGCTGCTGCTTCTCCTGGATTGAATTTATTGTCTAAAGTATGGCAGGGCTTCCAGGAAAAGCTTGATAGAACTTAGCTTTCTAAACCACTGAACTCTTCTGTGTACTTGAGGAGTTCACTGAGCTGGAGTTCATGGTAACGGGGCTTTACAACCAGTCTAACTCCAGTTGTTCTTACACAGTCTCCTTTGTGCCTAGAATTGAAGCAAATAATAAAGAGAAGTTTTTAAAAAATTGAGGTGTCAGTCCTGTTCTGTGGGGGGAAGAGGTTGCTATGCTTTAGTGGCAGGATGAGTAATTTGGGTAAACTTTATTAACAAACAAAGTTTGAGTTCCTTCAGTAGGAAAGGAATTACGGAACTGTAAATTGTTTCCTAATTATCACACTTGAGAAGCAATCAGCAAAGATGGAAAACAGTGCTTGTTTTGCATGGCTTTTTTGAAACACAAAGCAAATGTGAGTTGTTGGGGAATTTCAATGTGGGAGTTAGGATTTTTTTTCTGCTGTGGAGTGGACTCTCAACTCTGGTTTTGCTAGCAGTCTCAGCTCTATATTGCTTGTTTTTCCGTTAGAAAACGTATAGAGGTATTGCATGTGCTGCAAGATCTTCAGTCTTTTCTTCTTCTAGTTTTGTGATGGGTACACGAAGGTCAACAGAAGCTAACAGAAGTAAACTGAAAACTAGATTTCAGTCTCTGGTGCTTAAAACAACTGGACACCTTTCTGAGGGGGTTTGGAGTGGGAAGAAAAAGTCTCAGAATGAACAACCTTTGCTTGAAGGTCATGCCAAGTAAATACTCTGAACCAAGCAGAAATCTGGGTAATCAGGTTTCCCAGCTTGATACTGTTACTTTTCCTGTTGCTAATCTGTCTGTAGAGAAGTCTTGCAAGTACACATGTACGTTTTTAGTGAAAAATATGCAAAACCGAGCCTTTTCAGACTTGGAGTTATGGGAAGGCTCTCTACAATTTTATTACACAAATGATCAATAAAGTGACAAGATTATTCTTTAGCTCGGCAAATTTATTTGTTATTCTTTAATAATGAATTGATTTAAACTTTTCCAATTTTCAGATTTTCTAAATATTTATAATTCTATCTAAAAGTTATTCCAAAATATTCCATGCTTGTAGTGGTTATTTATCACTCTGTCCCACCTACTTTGGGTTTGTCATTTAAAATCACTTGTGTGTTATGTGATCCACGTTTAGGTGACTTTACAGTGTGACACCTAGCCTTAATATTGTGCTTATTTTGGGGGGTTTGTTGAGTAGGTGCAGTTTATCTGCTAGGTGATAGTCAGAGCTATATTAAAGGATAATCTTGCAGTGTTTTTATTGTTTCCCTCAGAATGGGAGGTATTCCAGCTAAAAGCCATAAAGGGGAAAAGCTGCTTCTATTTATGGGCATTATTGATATTCTGCAGTCTTATAGGTAAGTGGCAGTTGCATTTCAAGTTTTTATTGCTGTCAGCTATTCTGATATTAGTTGCAAATACGGAAATTTCATAGGGCAGTTCTGATTTCATTTTTATATGCTTAGATTAATGAAGAAGTTGGAACATTCCTGGAAAGCTCTTGTTTATGATGGGGTAAGTAGATTATTTTTAGTTGTTGGTATTTTAGATAATGAAACTTTGACTTCCACTGACCAGAAAAGAGTACGTTCGGATATTTTTATAATCTACATATCACAATAACATCTAGGCTACTGCCACAATTTTTTAAGTACATTTTCTGAAACATGCCCTAATTCTGTTTTTTAATCTTTCAGGAAGTAAATAAAATGATCAAATTATCCTTATTTAGACAGGACAATAGTCATTTAGCAGGACGCTGATGAATCTGTAGTTAAAAAAGCACATCACATGAAAAAGGTCTTTTAAAATGCTAGAAAGATTTTTGTAGAATGTAGCTATATAACTCAGAACTCGAAACTTCATAAATTAAATACTTCAGCTTGAAGAAAAGTTGTTAAAGCATTAACCTTTAAAAGTGAAAAAGCTTTAGGGGTTTGTTTCTGAATATGCCTGAAATGCATAGTACCATTTACCTGAGATGTCAGACTTTTTTCTTGACTCTTTAATGTTGGTTTTCCGATAGAGAATGTGACTGAGACTTTTTTAAATCTTGCAGGACACTGTTTCAGTTCACAGACCAAGTTTTTATGCTGACAGATTTTTGAAGTTTATGAGTACAAGAGTTTTCAAAAAAGTTCAAGGTAAGAAAGTTGTCATTGTTGCTCTTCTAGGTAATGCAGTGATCATTACTTTATAACACTACTTTCTTGGTAATAGAAAGCCATTTCTCCAGGATCATGTGGCACCTTACAAAAATTAGCAGGTGAGTTTCTTCCCTGGAGCCAATGGGGTTTATATATTCATAGCTGCCTTGATTGCGCCTGCCTGAATGTACAGTTTTCCCTGTCTTCGCTGAAGGAGATTCTTGGGTATATCTGCAGCTTTTTTGGGGCATCATACTTGAACAGCGCAATGCAGTGTAATGTAACCTTCTAATATTAGAGGTTTTCCAGTAGTGTAATAATAGCCTCACCCTAATACAAAGATTAGGTGTTTTAGTTCATTATTTTTTTTTGTTGAAAAAAAAATCCGGAAAGAATTTGAAGGCTATTAAAAGCAAAAGAGTAATGGTGGATTTTTGATGGAACAGCACATTTGCTAAAGGTGCAAAAACAATGCGTTTGGAAACGAAATGCATTAATCCTCAGTTTGCACCAAGAACGATACTTCTGTTATTCTCTATATTATGTGAAGTCAAAGATGTTGTATATAGCTGCACGTGAGTTGCATGACACCCTGGAGTAGATCAGAAAGCAGAAAATATCAATCTCTTTGCTTTTGTTCATATCTGTCCAAATACTTAAGAGTAGCTTAAGGCTGTTTGCCGTTAAAAGACAGGGTCTTGTTTGGGTTTTTTGTTTGCTTGGTCTCCAAAGGCTATACCAAGTTCTGATTATAGGTTTTTGCTATCTCATGATTAGGGAACCATTAGAAAAATTGTAGATTACTGGAAATTTTATCCTTGACCGTCTCATGCAAAGTCAAAATTCAGTAGATCTAGAAGTCCCAATTGCTTGGCACTATATTATTTTGTTTTGTAGGATTTATTTGGCCTGATAAGCTCTTTACTTGCAGCTGCATCCTAGGAGTGATTTAGGATTATATAACACTGAAACCGTTCCTACTGTAACCACTAATTCATTGTCAGGGCAAGAGTTTTACTGGCAAAATCAAACTGTAGAGACTCAACTTATTACAGGCTTCTTCCGTCAAAATTTCAGCTCAGGTTTTGCTTTCGTTAAAACTTCTACCACTGAAACTCTGTATTTTTCAGATTGTATTTGCCTATGTTACTCTTTGTTTTGTCTAAAGATAGTATCATCTGAAGAACAGTATTCAACTATTTTTTGAACGATCCCAATTATTTGGAGTGAGCTTATGAAACTCTGTGACCCTGTCCAGGAAACAAAATGTCAGGGACATGACAGGTTAGAACAGCATATGTGATTAAGTCTCAAAGAGCAAGGAAGAAGAGCAAAAACTGTGATAACCAAGAACGAAAAATCAGAGGAGTAGGTGATAAATACTTAGTGAAATTTCTAAATAAGATGAATAAGAATAGGGGTAGATGGATGAGAGAGGAAGGCTAAGAGTAGCACCACTGAAAAAAAAATAGGAAATTGGATCCTTTGAGGAAAGTAGGGGAATCTTTAGAAGAAAAAGAGGAAAAATAGAATTAACCCTAATTAGTGATTCCATATATGCGTGATGACAGGTAGTCAGGGAGACAGGACTTTTAGAGAGTCTTAGAAGTGTTAATGAATTGATGGATAAAGCCTCTACAAATTGGTCATGCTAATGAAAGGAAATTTGGTCTAAAGCACCACAGATACAGAGGAGAATGGTGGTGACTGCTGAGATGCATTGAGTGCATGTGCCATAAAAAGGCTATACGGAATGGGATTAATAGACCAGCAAGGCAAAGGGGAGTGGTTGAGGTTCACTGTGTCCTTGACTGCTTTGTGAGGAAAAGCTGCTCTGATTATCGGAGCACGTGAGTTGTTTTCCCCCCCCCCCCAACAGTTATGGCCTTAATTTAAAACCTTAGTATAAAAGAAACAGATGAATTAGTTTATGTAAAATGCATCCATATTAAAGGTGCTGACATTGCACTTTTTATTTTTTGTAAGCAAAGTTATGTTTCTGACTTTTATCCTCCAGAAAACTCTTCTGTGAGTTTCATGACTTTTTAGAAAGTGCAGTTCTTGACAAATGGATATGAATTGGTTGGTTAGAACTATGTAGCTGACAGAGGAAGGCATACTCTAAAATGGATGCTAGTTAGCAATATGATAATCTTATCTCTTGGAGCTGCATTTGGTTTGGATATCAATGTTGAAACGTTGAAGGGACTCTGACTCAAAGACCACAGAAAAAGTATAAGCATTTGGCATTGTGTCAAACTGATGGAAGGTGTTTTGTAAATACCTTCTTGGCCTGTGTTAGGTTGGTGTATTTTGTAATATTGCCGTTAATTATCTAGAGTAAGAAACATGCCTATCAGGAAAGAAGTAGAACAAAATGCAAATGAAGGATAGAACCAAATGAGATGAAAAGGAAAATGACAGCAAATACTAGCACAAACTAACAACTTACTTGGCTCAGCGCTAACGTTTTGGAGAAAAGTTAAACCATGTATTGTATAAGCTTATTAGAATTAGCCCTTTGTGACACAGCATGGTGATTAATATCAAAATAAAAGGAACTGAAAAAAGATGATTAAAATAGTGAGGCAAAATTCAGCTGAAAGGAAGAAGGAGCCTCCTGAGACAGAGATCTCTTAAGCCACAGAACAAAGCTCTTTCCCAGAGAAGCGTTGGGAGCCCCTTTGTCTAAGACAACACTTTCCAGCATTTCCTGGAACTCTTCTGCACTGATAGGAATAGACTGCACTGCAAGGAATAGACAACTTAATACTCCAGTCCGTAGCATGAGAGATATTACTCTTGCAGCTGTGTATGTTTCCTGAACCTATGAGTTTTTTTTTCCTCCAGTGCTTTCTGCTTTTGACTGATAGCTTGATGTCAATACAAGATGCAACTCTTTCTGTAGTTTAACGCTACAATGTACAATAAAGGATGTCATGCCTAATTATCTCTCTGATCTTAATTTCTGTCTTATTTTTCCACACTATTGACCTGTTTTAATATCCCACTTGTATTGATCTGCTCTGTGTCCAAGACTATTAATCTACTTTTATATGGATTAATAGTTCAAATGCTTTATCATTCTTTTGAGAAATAAAGTAGTGGGAGTGTTCTTGTCTTCAGGAACATTGCTTTTAAACTTTGAGTCTGACGTTTCAGTTTGAACTCTTAAGCTTTGTTCTAAGTACGTGCTTTTCCCTTAAAGCACAGAACAAGCCTCCATAAATAACAACAAAAACGTAAGCAAATTCAGCCTTAGTCAGAGGCCAGTTCAACAGCTATCTACTACATCATTTTTTAACAATATCCTGGAGGCGTGTAACTCTCTTCTTCCAAGTTTGTTGTTTTTTAGCCAAGTATTCTTGATGCTTTTAGTTTGCGTTTTGTAATAGATCACAAGGTTGAGTGTTGCAATTCGCCTGGTAACGCTGCAGTCAATGCATGGGTGTTAGGGCTTGACAATTAAAAATCTATGCATGAGGTAGCTGGCATTCC